GTTAACTGATTGACTAATTTATTCATGCTTCCCAAATTTAACTTGTATTTCAATCGTAATTTTTAGGATTTTTTTGCATCGTATTGGATGCCCTGTAGAAAACTTTTACTAGGTGTACAGTAAAGTTATTTATTTTCCAATCACTTACTAGATTGTTTGATATCGTACAGTAAGTTATGTTTAGAGCTACTGACAGTTATCTTGCTAATAAGATCTAACTATGAAGAAAGGATGCTAAAAAGTATAGTAATATGTTGTCTATTAAATAACATTAAATAATGTCCAGATGTGTTTTATTTCCAGATCCTGACAAAAGACAGTGTGACAGTTGCAGTTGACGCTGTTGTTTACTTCAGAATCTACAATGCCACCATGTCCATCACTAATGTTGAAAATGCTAATCGCTCTACACGTCTTTTGGCTCAGACAACACTGAGGAATGTTCTTGGAACAAAGAGTCTTAGTGAGATATTGACTGAGAGAGATACTATCAGCCACGTTATGCAGGTTGGTAAAACATCATCACATGATTTCAGGCTTCCTGAACTTGGGGTTTTATTTTATGTGACCTGAATTACAGTGTTTCTCTATCATTAAGTTCCACTCATTTCTCCCTGACAATAAAACATCATTTTATTATAGTGTTGTGTTACTTAGTTATGTTCTAAAAATGCAGTCACTACAGTTGTAGAATTAGTGTGTCAGGCTAGGACATTTCATAGTATTGTTAAGGCCGATTTAGACGACACAACTTTTKCTTACAACCATCGCATGCAACCTGCGTAAGTCATCCTTACGACATGGCTACAACTGTCGTAGGGATTTTAAACAATTGCTTAATTAATAGCCTCATGATAGTTGTAGCCATGTCGTAAGGATGACTTACGCAGGTCGCATGCGATAGTTGTAGGGAAAARTTTTGTTGTCTAAATCGGTCTTTAGTAGTTCATATTATGTTATTTTAATGTGTAGAGTGCTCTTGATGAGGCTACTGATCCTTGGGGAGTCAAAGTAGAAAGAGTAGAAGTGTAAGTCAAAGTTATGATATGGTCATATGATAACATATTATTAATCGTTATATTAATGGAAATRTTAATGTTAATATTATATCAATATTATTGATAATTAATCTAATTTATTTTAAATAGTAAGGATGTTCGTCTACCACAACAGTTACAAAGAGCTATGGCAGCTGAAGCTGAGGCAACTCGTGAGGCCAGGGCTAAGGTATGTGTACCAAAGATACTATACCAAGATGAACCTTGACCTTTTTGTCTTCCTTTTAATTGATCATGGTTATTGGATAAGTTTTTTGTTTTCTTTAGACTTTGGAAGTATAATTATTTAATTATAACCTTGTTAGACCTGTGTTTATCTTATTGATTRATTGAACAACAAGCTCTCAGACTATCAAAAAACTGCTGAAAAATGGACCGATAGATTTAAGAAATAGCTGCATGACAATTGAAGGGTTTTGGAAGAATCATTTGGGGAATAAAAAAGTTGGTTTTTGAGTGATTCAATCTATAATTTTTTCTTTTGTTTTGAGCAACTACTGAATTTTGTGTGGTTTAAAGACCTGCAGATATCTTCTAAAATGGTTCCAGAATTGTTCGATAATTTACATTGTAAGAAAGTACATCAGAGTACATCACAAGGAAAGAATCTTTTAGTATATAGATTTGTCCACGAACGTTTTAAAGATATTTTATCGCCGTTTGCACAACACAAACTTCATGTGATTGACAAAATTCTAAAATTTACTGAAAGATGATTGTAATCTTTGATGATACTTAGGGCAAGGCATTTAACTTGCAGACAAAAACAAGTGACTGTAGAGTGCACGTCACATAAGCATGAAACAATTCTTAACTAATTAGCGCCTAATAAGATTTAGTTATCAACTAACTAAGAATTTAGTGAGGCACAAACAAAGACAAGTTTCCTTTCTGGCATTGTGTTCATGCCCCAGTGAATTGTTAGTTAGTTGATAACTAAATCTTATTAGGCGCTAATTAGTTAAGAATTGTTTCATGCTTATGTGACGTGCACTCTATTGTTGTTGATTTGCACCATAGTTACATGACTTTACAGTTAAATTGTGCCGGGGCTTATTGTATCAGTTGGGAATTATTAACAAGAACAAATTAATGTATAGACCTACAGTTAGACCTGTAGTTAACTGACACTCAATAGAATGGGTTTTGATTTGATGTATAGACCTACAGTTAGACCTGTAGTTAACTGACACTCAATAGAATGGGTTTTGATTTGATGT